GAAGAGGGGACAGTGGGCTGAGATGGGGTTTGGGTTTCGGGAATGGGTTGGGTAGGCATTATGGCTGGCAGGTCAGGCGAGGTCTGGGGCAGTGGGGTGACGGGTTGGGCTGGGTGGGTGGGGAGAGAGGGTGTAGGGTTCCCGTGAGCGAGATTGGGAAACAGAGGCAACACACCAAGAAAGGAAGAGGGATTTGACACAGACACGGGTAGTGTGGAGTAGGGAAATTGATCCTCTTGAAACTGTACGTGACGAGAAATGTAAAGACGACCAGTGGAGGGATCATAACATCTATACCCTTTTGACAAGGAATCATAACCGACAAAGATGCACTATTTTGACCTGGGTTGAAATTTATGATTAATCTCGTGACGAAGACACGGATAAGAGAGACACCCAAAAACTCTAAGAATGGAGTAGTCAGGAGGAGTGTGATATAGAGCCTCATATGGAGACATACAATTAAGAGACCTCTTTGGCATGCGATTGATTAAAAAATTTGCTGTAGCCAAAGCCTCAACCCAAAAACGCGCGGGAAGGGAAGCTGTACACAAAAGTGTGACAAGAGTTTCAACCAAGTGTCTATGCTTCCTCTCAGCCACGCCATTTTGTTTAGGAGTATATGGACAAGACTTTTGATGAAGAACCCCCAATTGCTGTAAAAACCGCCCAAACTTTTTGTTGACATATTCGCGCCCATTATCAGTACGAAAAATTTTAATGGTGGTGTTAAACTGATTCTGGACCATGGACTGAAAACTAAGAAAGGCATCATAAGCTTCAGATTTACACTTGAGTGGATAAAGCCAACAGAATTCTGTGCAATCATCAATAAAATTGATATAAAAGTTATATCCCCCAAAAGAGGGTACAGAAGTAGGCCCCCATACATCAGAGTGAACTAAATGGAAGGGGACCGTGGAAGTACTATGGGATATGGGAAAATGGAGTTTATGAGATTTAGCTAGAGAACAAGAATTACAATGATCAATGTTTGAAAACTTGAATCCTAATCTAGAAAGTAGTGACTTGGTGACTTGAACGGATGGATGACCAAGACGACAGTGCCATTGTTGAGCAGTGACCTTGACAGCATTGATCAGGACTGGTGGACTGGACGCAGGAATGGAATAGAGACCTCGCTCACAGGGGCCCTTCAAAAGTACTTGGTTGGTCGTATTGTCCCGGATCGTAAAATCCTTCGAGGTAAAAAGAAGAGAACAGTTATTATCTTTTGTAAATTGATGGAAAGATAAAAGATGGGATTTAATGGAAGGAGCATGGAGGAGGTTAGATAAGTGAAAGGTGTTTGTGGGTGTGGTTAATGTACCTGAGCCTGTGTGAGAGATGGGAAAGGTATTACCTCCAGCAGCGGTGATAGAATTGGTGCCCTGATATGGAAAAGAATACTGTAACCATGATAAGTCAGGAGTGACATGAGCGTTTGCCCCAGTATCCAAATGCCCGTTTGAATTGGGTTCAGCAGATTGTTGAGTGTAGTATGCCTGTGGGGGACCAGAGTAAGACTCATCATAGCAATGCCAACAGTTCCACACAGCATGGCCAGGCTTCCCACAAAGTTGGTAGACAAGCTGTCCCCCACGAGAACCACCCCGTCCTCGGTTGCCTTCCACACCGAGACCCGGGCGGCGGTCTTCCCGTCGATCATCACGACTGCCGGTGGGCAGTCCCTGCCGTCCTCCTCTGTTTCCAAAAACGGGGCCTCCTCTGCCTCGGTTTGGTCCACCACGGCCACGGCCTCTGTAGCCAAAGTTGCCACGACCGGAGTTAGTGAATAGGGCATTATGAATATCCGGGGAGGAGGACGTCTCACCTAGATGCAGTTTTTGCTCAATCTGTACATTCAGTTCTTCAGACAGAAGCCATGCAGAAACCTGATTAAAGGTTAAGTGTCCAATATTCGTACGAACATTCTGTTTAAGAGACGCGTATTCCGCAGGGAGACCACGAAGAACACATAGAATAATATCATGTTCGGACAAAACCTCATGAGCAAGTTTAAGAGAGTTCACAATACCAAGGACTTGATCAAGAAATTTTTGCATCGACTCTGTTCCCTTGCGAAGATTGTGAAGCTTGTCCTTCAATTGAAAAATATGGGTTCGAGACAGAGAATTATATCGTTGTTGTAGATGACTCCATATCTCAGCCGATGTGGGTAAAGAATGAATATGGGCTTGCACCGTAGGAGAAACAACCGCAAGGAGGCATGCTCGAATCTGGGCATCAATGATCTTCCAAACTTCATGGGCAGGATTAGGTTTCAGAGTAGGCGCACCTTTGTCTGCTGGGGCCTTCTCGTCGGGTATGAATGGCGGTGGGATCTCCTTTGTACCGTCGACGTATTCAAGAAGGCGATGCGCCGATAAATTTGCTTGAACAGTGGCTGACCAGGATGGATAATTGGTATCATCAAGTTTTGCAGGAGTTAGAGATTGGAGATTCCGGACGAAAAGTTTCAGGCCGGTTGGGAGTTGATCCATGGGATCGGTAGTGCTGGTCGCCATGATCGGCGGAACCCTAATTGGGTTGTAGTTTTTTTTTCGGTTACCGTGAGAGACGAGAGAGAGAAGGGACCGTTCGCTCTGATACCATATTGGAATATTGAATTTACTCAAGAGAATATTGAAGGGTACAATACAATATATATAGGAGAAATCCTACCATAAACAGGAGTAGGAGAATAGGAGAGAATAAACTCCTACTATGAATAAACTATTACCATAAATATAGATACTATATAATTATTTCCTAACAACAATGACAAGGCGTAGGCCTTTTTATAGATTCAACAATACAACTAATTCAACCCCTACAACTGATACTTGTCGCCTAATAGATATCACCTGGTCCTCATAGTCTAGTCCCTTTCACCTGGTCGTTATCATCCGGTCCCTATCATTCAGTCGCTGTCCTCACATCACTGTCGTCTTGTCCGTGCCGAGAAGGAAGGAGCCCGAGGTCCGAGCTGAGCTCATCCCTACCAAGCTGAGGCCACATGTTATGTAACGCCTGAAAATATATTAACTTATTATTCAAATCAATCAAATTTTTTTATGAAAAATAAATTATTGTTGGACTTTGGGCTGAAATGAAATATGCTTTGATATCCAATATCACAATCTGGATAAATCTCATAGAGATAAATCAAACATGTTGATTATTTGTGTAATCTTGATGGGGAACCAGAGTACAGACGCAAATTAAGAATAAATGAAGAATCTGTTTATGATGTGAACTTTGAAATGATTTATTGAATGGAATCATGAGAATAAATAATATGAATTGAATGTGAGAACCTTTTTGAATAAAGGTCAATTAAATCTATTTTGACTGTCAAAGCCAAACCCCCAAAAAATGATGCTGAAAAAAGTATTACGGATAAAAATAAAAATTATATTGCTGAATAGAATTTGACTGTCCGACCGCAACGGTGCAAACAAAATTTAATTTGGAGAAAGTTGGACTAAAAAGTGTACCACGACTGGAACCAAAATTGTCCCAATCAGGGAACCGCTATGTCTTCTTCTTCACCTCAACTTCTATATAAGGAGAGCTAACTTCCCATTGTTGAAACACGGGTTTATCGCTTTATCGTACTAAAGCCGTGTTCGTTTTTATGACAGGTTTTGATAATGCCAAACCGCCGTGAACGAGACAAAGTGTTGAATATACAAGGCAAGAAATGAAGATGAGAACAAGAGCTAAAAGAGACCAAGAACGAAGACCATAGTTTTAGTATCGTTGAGTCGGTCACAAATGTGATCAAGACCGACCCAAGCCTTACACTTTGGCTCTTTAAGCTAAAACCTTTTGTTGCATTTCTCATATCATAAAAATGATTTTCAAGCATGTTTAAACACATTAAAAACACTTGGTGTTTGCCCAAACCAAAAACCAAGAAATCCGGCGTTCGGCTTTCAAAAACCGGCATTCGGTTTTCAGAAACCGGCGTTCGGCATACGGTTATCGGCGTTGGTTTTTGGCGTCCGAACCAACCAAGTGGGTTTCAACATTTTATGATTGGTTTTTACTTCAAGGCACTTTTAAATAGTTTTCATCAAAAACACTTCAAAAACCACCTTTCGTTTTTTGTCGTTTGATAAAAACCATGCAAAACGGCATAAACTTGGCTTGCCGTGGTTTTTACTTAAATGAAGTGGTTTTCGAGTCTTTTTGTGTGGGAAATGTTTTTTAATGCATTTAAATGGTTCTCCAATCAAAACATCATAAAAACCACCTTTCGGTTTTGTCTTTTGGTAAAAACCACCCATGTAGGGTGTTGACTTGGTCAACCGTGGTTTTTACCTTAACGACGTGGTTTTCAACTTACAAAGCTTGTTTTGACATCACAATACGTTAAATAAGTATTTTAAATACTTAGTTTTTACTTTGGAGAACTTTGCATTTTTCGGTCGGATTTGAGCGCCGGTCAGCTAGGCCATGGTTCTAGACTAGCCATCTACCTAGCGATGGTAGATATCACCCATCCATGGGTAACTGATCCCGGGATTCCAGAATCATGCCACCCAGTGATGAGAGATATTACCCGTCGATGGGTAAGCAGCCTTCAACCCAACCGAATTCCAGAACCATGCAAAACAGCGACGGGAAGTTCTACCCATCGCTGTTCAAGCCTTGGTCCAACATTATCACAAGGCAAAATGCCCTTACCCAGCGATGGGAACCTTTACCCATCGATGGGAGGGCATACACATCGCTGGTTAGGCATGACCATTGTGAGTCATTTAAGGCTGATTCTTTCCTTATTTGAAAGTCAACCTCCCACCCAGCGATGGGAAGCATTTACCCATCGATGGGTAGGTGACCGTTGGCTTCAAAACTGAAGGAAAATTGGCTTACCAGCGATGGGTAAGTCCATACATTGCTGGGAAAGCCAATATCCTGCAGATCCACATTTTAATCAATCCCATAAATCAAGCCAATCATCCCTTTAATGCCTTGGTCCGTTGGAGCCTATTTTGGCACTATAAAAAGGGGTGTTTGGGTCTGCTTTACCAACCAATTTACTTCACATTACACATATCATCATTGCATCCAAACAACATTATTTTCCATAGCTTTCTAGAGCCAATTTGTGAAGTTTGAGTTGTTCTTGAGCGTATATAGTTTACTCAACATCTACTCTTAAAGAGAGTCTTGTTCTTGAGTGTTCTTAGTGTTGTAAACACGTTTAGGGAAGCTTGTTTCCCTTGGTTGTACGAAGGAAAGGTATTTTCCTTCGGGTTGAAGTCTTGGAGTGCGGTATCTC